GTGGTCAATCGTACCGTGTCGAATCGTACAGTGTGCTATTCTTGCGGTGTCCAATCGTACTGTGGTCAATCGTACCGTGATCAATCGTACGTGTCCAATATTACGTGTGCAATCGTACTGTGTCCAATTGTACCGTGGTCAAACGGAATACGCCCCTGTTCAACAACAGCTGTCTCTTTCAACGTTGAAGACATTTTCTTAACATGGCAAAGGTAGGGAACGCGCAGTCTATACATTCTACGTCTATGTTATTACCACGAAGTAAGAGTAAAGGCTTAGAATGGCGTATGGACTAGCTTGAACCGGTCCTTTGAGCCATATATGCACCAAACCAACCAAACCAAGTAAGAATAAAGAGATCAAACTCCGTGATACAAAAGTGGTCCCGATTTTTACGGTTTATTGGGAGGGAATCCGCTCAAGAAAATAGGTTTTTACGGTTGGACGCCATTTGCAAAACTGTGCATGTACACAACTAACACATGTACACGTTTAGTGTATGTAATCTATCTTGTTACATATAAAATCCAACCGTAAAAACCTATTCCCTTGAGCGGATTCCCTCCCAATGAACCGTAAATATCGGGACCACTTTTTCCATTCGCGCACTATCAAGTTCGATCTCCTTACTCTTACTTCGTGGTTATTACCATAGACTTATATAATATGTAGACGCATGGAATGGTGGGCTGAGAACTGCGGCCTGATTCCTTCGTATCAGTTTGGATTTCGCCGTGGGTTATCGTGTACCGATAACATTTCCGTCTTAGTTTCCCATATTAAATTAGCCAACAACTCCCGTCAAGTCACGGGCGCCGCGTTCCTTGATATCGAAGGAGCGTTTGACAATATCATTCCTTCTACTCTCCTAGAAAGTCTGCGAAAACTCCAATTTACTGACCGAGTGATCTCTTTCATTTCCACAGTAATATCCCACCGGTCGTTGTCGGGCTATGTGGCTGGCCGTCCCTTTCAGTCTCGAAACACTACACGAGGGTTACCACAAGGCTCCGTCCTAAGCCCACTTCTGTTCAATTTATATATGTCTTTTCTCGACTCGTGCCTTCCACTTCCGGTAAAAATTCTAATGTACGCAGATGACATTGTCATTTATTGCTCCCACCCTTCTATCGCATACATAGCACGTCAACTTAATGTGGCCCTAGCAAACCTTCATGCTCATCTCAATGATCTAGGTTTGCGTTTGTCCCCGGAGAAATCTTCAGTTACTTTTTTCTCTCTGAACCATCTCCGCAATATGAGATGGCTCGTTCACCGGAATAACATTAGAATCTCTCTAAATAATGTCAATATTCCCATTACTTGGAAGGTCAGATTTTTGGGAGTCGTCTTAGACTACGCTCTTAACTGGAAGGCTCATATTACGGAAATTAGGAAACGCGTTCTCCTACGTGTCAATATACTGAAGGCTATTTCCGGTATACGATGGGGTGCCCACCCGAGTATTCTGATAACAGCCTATAAAGGTCTGGTGCGGTCAGTCTTAGATTGGGGATGTCAGGTTCTTTCTCCTTTGAAGGAACGCGAAGGACTTGTCCTTGATAGACTTCAGTACTTATACGCCCGGTTATCCTGCGGCCTGATGCGTACAACCCCAACAAACGTTCTCTTAGACGTAATAATCGAACAACCACTTCAGTGCCGACGAGAATATCTAACTCGCAAATACATTCTTAAATCTGCAGCCAGAGCTAACCTCTTCGGTCAATCTTTACGTCGATAAGCCCGCAATGGGTCTTCCTGTGTGAGAGCAACAGGTTTAATCCGTTTGACTTGGCTTGCCAACTTACTCGGGAAATGACAGAGGTGGAACCTTACGTTCTGCCTGGGGCATTGCCTTTCATGTATTCCACTCGCTTCTTTCGCTGCAATGTAAACACTGAAGTTGGGACCGCAGCTAGTACTAAGGACGACCCACAAGAATTTGTCCAAAAAGAGATAGCGACATTTCACATCAATCATGTCCTCTATACAGACGGATCGAAGAGAACAGGACACAATCCTGATGATCCCTCTGACTCCAGTGTAGGCTTCTCCGTTGTTTCGGAATCACTGCATATTTACAAATCTTACCGCATCCACAACTTATCAACTATTTTTGACGCCGAGGCTGAAGGAATCCTCTATGCCGTTAACTGTATACAATCCCAACATCTTCCAGCTTGTGCAATTGCTACCGACTCTCTCAGCGTGTTGAGTTGCCTCGAATCAGACCCGCATGGTCTATACCCAGCAATAATATATAGAATTAAACAGACCGTCCGAACATTATTATTAGAACACAATATACACATAACATTTTTGTGGGTCCCGAGCCACAAAGGCATCCTGGGAAATGAAATTGCGGATGAATATGCTAAGCGAGCTCTGTCTGAACCTGAACCGGGATCTGAACAAAAATGCCCGGTCCGCTCCTTTTTCCCCTTTTTAAAACTACGCTCACTTTTGGCAGCGCGACGTCTCCTCCTGGAGGAGGCTCGCCATAAAGGCAGCCGGTATTTCACCTTCAAAAAAGCGGTCCTAGACCACCCGTGGTGGGTAAAAACCAAACACAAGTTATCACGTGAACTTATCACTTTTATAACGCGCCTCCGAACCTTCCATACCAAAGTTGGCGCACATTTATTTGAGAAAAATATACTAGACTTCCCGCTATGCCAGTGTGGCCTAGCGGAGCAGGATGTCGACCATCTATTTTTCCATTGCCCTTCACAACAAGGGACATCGGACAAGCTTCTAATAGACTTATTCCACTGCGGCTTCAGTCCGCCTATTAGCATTGCGGACGTTGCTTTTTCTGATAACATACGAGCAATGCATGTACTGTTATACTTCGCAAAATCCAGTAATATCATCCTTTAATAAGCCACCAGTTATCCATTCCATATCAATCCTTCATAATCAGAACACCCATGCGTGCAGTATATAATCTACGAAAGCCTTACTTCAATATAATACACAAACATACATCTAAACTCCAATCACAAATCTCTCAAATACGGAGCAATTTAGCCAGCGAGTGGCATATGGACTAACCCTCAGGGTCCAAGAGCCATAAGTGCACCAAGACCAAGACCAGTCTTATATAATAGACCATATATGTAATACTTCTATATGGCTAGTTCATATATGTAATACTCCTATATTGCTAGTACGGTGCCGACCTGAAGCTCACCGTTACGGTGCAGACAATATAGTAGCCTCTCTCTCCAGCTGCTTTGTGCGCATGCGGTGAACATAATGACGCTCGACCATCTATGCCCATATTTGAACTTCGTGCGTCTCCCTTTCTCGGGCCTCGTGCCTCTTATTGGGTGTGTTTAGCCGAAGCTAGCGCTACGTAGCGCTACGTAGCGGCTTCATGTAACAGTTGCAATTGCTGCGTTACTTCTGCTGGACAGTATGGCTACGCGTAGCATGTTCTAAGTAGTGGCCGCCATTTACAATAATACCGTCTCAATTATAATACTTTGACACTTTTTTTGCCATTTTTATAAATAATTAAAAAACACAGTTTAGCAACCGAAGAATACAACGGCGATTTGTATACAAACATATTTGCGCTTACAAAAAGCGCTGCGCGTAGCAATACTGTCCAGCAGAAGTAACGCAGCAATTGAAACTGCTACATGAAGCCGCTACGTAGCGCTACGTAGCGCTAGCTTCGGCTAAACACACCCAATATATACATTAAAATTTACGCTTATAACTTACTTATGTAAGCAAAGATCTTTATTTTTGGCTTGTTTTTTGTTACAGACATAACAATACCTCACCATTTTGCACTGATTTTATCGTGTAGTACGTAATTTTCGTGCTACACAAATAGATTCAAAACAATATCTTAGACTTTCGAGGTTATACTTCACGTTACATGTGCTATAGATTTTCAGTACTGGCAGTGAATATCGAAACGCAGCCAATATACGCATTATGGATACATGTCACGCATGCGCTTTCGAACAAACTGAACAGTGATAAAGAGTAATAAAGAGAGTAGAACATTGTCTGCACCGTAGTGTTGGAACCGCGCTGAGGCTGTGTTCAGTTAAGCAAGATGGAACGAACTAATGGAGGAAATGCAGGAAATACAGGAATTGGAACTAATGAATTCCTGTATTTCCTGCATTTCCTCCATTAGTTCGTTCCATCTTGCTTAACTGAACACAGCCTGAGAGCTCAACTAGCCATATAGGCTGCTTTCCTTTTAGGAGACACAGTCGACACAAGAGTCATTCTGTCTTTGTTTCTCACTGAATACTTAACAAAGACAGAATGACTTTTGTGTCGACTTGTGTCGACTGTGTCTCTTAAAAGGAAAGCAGCCATAGAAGTATTACATATATGGTTGGGACAAGTCCCGCTTATGGAAGACTTGCTCAACTAGCCATATAGGAGTATTACATATATGTAATAGACGGAGCGTTCATATGAGGAAGTTGAAGACAACATTAAAGGACAGGGGTAGTGCTGGAGTGGTTGTCTGTCTCTCGGCCACTCTCTCGGCTTGCCGCGGCCACCAATCAACTCACTTCTAGAAAAGAAGAGAGCTGCGTTCGGGAAGCGCGCTATCAACGCACTTGCATCATTCTATCTTTATTGCTCATTAGATGTAAACAAAGATAGAATGACGCAATAGCGCGGATAGCGTGCGCCCCGAACGCAGCAGAGAACTGCTCCACGACTATTTCTATATCTTTTAACGAAGTCTTCAGCTCTTCTTGTACGAATGCTCCGTCTATTATGGCCCTGTTCGGTTATTACTGGCACTACTGAAAAATCTACAGTATACGTGACATGAATCTATAGATTTTCAGTACTGCCAGTAAAAAACGAACGCAGCCAATATCCATATGCTATTCTTCGCCACTCCAAATTTGAATTATATATATGTCTTATTTAAATTATTTTAAATTTTTTAAATAACTACTTTTCTCTTTTATCCACATTGTTAACGGATTATTTACCAAACATAAAATTTTTTTCTTTTGACTTTCATAACGTATTGTACATACAAAGCATTGTATAACAATAGAAAGAAAACTCACAAATATACTTGCGTAAAGTATAAAGAACCAAACCATTAGCATTTGTCTGACAACGTATAATGACAAAGCCTTATTTTTGAGTAACTCTACTGGCAGTGCATACATTATTATCGGAGAAATAAAATATGATCATGCTGATCTGTATGAAAGCGGTCTTCTTATTTGAACGTATTTTCCGGACATACGGAAAGCGGAAAACACAAATTGGAAATCCAGAGTCGAATAAATAAGCAGAAACGTGAGTAAACAATTAATAGGATAAATTTTGATCAAACGATGTAAAAAGATAAAATATTTTGCTGTAAAGCAAGAGAAATTATGTAATATTAAAAAAGCATTTTATATAAAAGAAGGTAGTGTAAATAATTTATTTATTAAAATACACCTTATGATCATATAATACAATCACATTAACTTATCACACGTTTCTTCTCAATACAAATTATATATGTATATAAATATAAATCTTTGTCATGGACTTGTATACATAGATACTTTGAACTTTTATTTTTGTTTCTGAATGGAAGAAAACTGGAAATATCGTGCGTTATAGTACCTAGTTAATTGACCAAACATCATTATAGATATATAGACACAGTACATACATACAAAACAATATATTCTAACACAAATATCTTAACTTATATTGCATCTTCTTCTTTTCTGCATTTATGGCTCTGTACATACATACGCCAGTCGTTACATTTTCTCAGAACGTAAGGGAAGCGATTTGTATCGCATGTTTATTACATGTCATAAAAAATATTTGAGTTTGCGCGATTTATTATGTATCACACAGGCAGTCACATGGCAATTTTGGCATTAGATTTCCCGGCCATGGAAGATATCCCGTTGTCTTGAACACCCAATAATCGTACGACACTTTGGCTATCATACCTACCAGAAGTGTCACTTCAATTGCAATAATATAATATATGTAATCTGTCCAGTCTCCTGGATATACGCACATCTTTGACGGTTCCAAGTCTATTACTTTTTCCTTCACGTTTCCGCACATTACTTCGTCAGCGTCCAATATTCGCGTTTGTAACCACGCCTGGAGTGAAAAAACCTTCATTTTACATGTACTCGTTGAATTTTTGTATAAGGATTTTCTAAAGTTATTTTTCACATTTCCTGTACCTTTAAATACTTGGCTGTATTGCAGTCACAATGTAACTTGTTACCTCCTAGCTTAACCAGGTTTCTCGAGCTCAAGAAATTTTTATTATGAGCACTTGGACTTAATATATATGTTGGCAGCTAAATATATATTGCTGCATTTAGTATTTGTGTAAATGCTTGATAGTGTCATATCAAAGAATTAAATATGATGGATTTTACTTACTGATGTAATTTTATTGTACCGTAAGCTTAGAAGAGCATAATTGTCCAGAAATTTAGAGCCCTCCAGTTTGTTTATTGAAGAAATATTATTATAGTCCGCATAAAATTCTCGTAAATCTTCATAATACAAATTGGTGCTAAGATCATCTAAAACTGTAATCTAAAAACACAATTCAGAGGATACTTATATTATGCGAGAGAGTTTAGTTGATTATAATATAGAATATTATAATCAATTAGATTATTGATTATAATATAGAATTTTGCTAACGTCTCACATACATTATTGCAGGAAACATTGAGCGATATAGTATTTTGCGGCAATTTCTTAGGTAATTCCGTTAACTGCATCCCGCTGCAATCTACGTTCACAGCGTGAGTCGGTGGTTTACCTTCGATAATATCAAGTCTCTTGATGTCACATTGACATTGCCAACCATCGCCTTTTGGACATTCCGTTTGCAGCTAGAGGTTACATCTAATCCTCATTTATTTTGCATAAAATTGCATACATTAAGTATCAGTATGCATTTAAGACGTACCAAACTGAGATAAATAACTTGTGTGAGAGGTACTTGTTCAGTGGTGTTGAACCAATGCCATGTCGCCACGGCGGAACACACGGTGTCGTTTTCACGATTAAAAGTGATTTGCTTTTCTCCCGGTTTGTTGATATACTGATATATATCTTGACACAAAAGTGTGTTTGTTCCTACAGAAGTAAAAAGACAACAATAATGGTAACGAGTCTAGATTTGATCAAAATAACAATACAGGCTGCATTAAATGCAACTTAGTTTACCTGAAATGTCTAACCAAAATTCTCGATTGTTTATGGTATTTAAAGTTGGAAGATTAGTTAGATTATTATAAGATAGATCCAATGTGGTGAGTTGCGATAATCGTATCAGCGAGTTACTCTCTACTTCGATCAGGGCGTTGTTCGATAGATTCAAGCATTGAGTAGGAGTCATTCTGAGAAATTGTCCCTTTACCCGATTAATCCTGCCGTCGGTTATAGCCAGAGAGGTCAGCATTCTCCACCGAGTTTCGCTTGCATTGAACACATCCAAAGTTGCATTACGTATATGTATATAACTTATATTTGCATGCGGAAATCCTAAAGTGAAACAACAACGATAAAATAAATTTGCAATTTAAATTTATATTGTCTGATTAATGTTTCGAAAGGTTTGCATATTATACAAAAGAAAAAATTTATAATACTTACCTATGCAAGAAAGATCACTTTCTAGAGCTGACATATTTGTATTACAACAAAATGCAGCATACCCCTGGTTAAACTTGATTCGCTCACAAGCACCGCATTCACTAGACTTTGGATCTAACTGAGGACAGTCTGTTGGCGGTCTATAAAAACAGCGTTCTGAAAGAGAATTTGAAATCTCGCTAGTATTCCACTGGTCTTCATCTGTACGTGCATTAGCTATTCCAGTATATAGCCATAATGTTATGACTGTCCGCAGCATCTGTGATATCCAAATACAAGAAAATCTATAATATTCCTACTTTTAAAACATTTCTGTTTACTTAAAAGCACAACATAGTTTACCTTTGCTTGTTTAATCCGCATTACAAACATTGTTGGATTGTTATAATTTGTAGTTTTATGTATGATTAGTGCGACACACGACTTTTTTCTATTCTCAGGCTAATTCAATGAGCATAGTTAATTACTCACGGGCCTTACTTTGTTGCGGCGGGTGGCAAAACAATTTAATTCGTTTAACCGCGACCGACACTCAGGGTCGTTCGGGTCAACCTGTTGATGAATCGAAATTGGTCGGGAGAGGATGTTCAAGCACATTTGTTAGCTCAATTTGCGCGAGCGAGAACGCGCTAATTAAGCGCGATAAACTAAACCGATGTGTATATATTCGTTATCTGTTAGTCGAGCGCAGCTATAAAGATCAATCATTATACATGGTTTGGTTTGGTGCATATATGGCTCAAAGGACCGTTTCAAGCTAGTCCATACGCCATTCTAAGTCTTTAGGAATCGTGACACAGGTTCTAAACCGTGGTTTGGGTACAAGCCACGGAGTTGTACGTTCGTTAAAAATACTGATAAACTGAAGAAATCGGTGTAAAAACACCGAAGATTGTCCAAAAATATCTAAGCGTAACTACGCACATCTAACCGGTACGGCTGATGCAACACCACTAATCAATCATTATACATGCGAGGACTGTACATACATCATACGCGCTGTTTACAGCGGCAATACAAGTCGTACTCGATTATTCTTAAACCTCTTGCACAATGGAAGGAATAGCGATAGCGATAGAAATAACACCAGTTTTAAAGAGTTTATATTTATAAATAACGGTAAGAACAGCAAAATCTAACATACAAAAATATGTAGATCAGAAAACGAAATAAGCAATAGCGATAAAATTTCCGATGAGTTGGAATTCTGTGTTTCTTATCGCGTATTACTTATCGCTATAACTATTCCCTCGCATTGTGCAAGGGGCTTTACTGCTGCGCGTTGTATACTTTACTTCGCGTATGTTTTATATATTATAATTATAGTCGATATTTTGTTTGATAAAAATATTGTTCAAAAATTCAACGTAACAATTCTAATGATATTTGAGAACGCGACAGAGCTGGTTCTGAAGATAAGTTCAAATGATAATCGAATGCTGATGTTATCAACCATTCATAAATGTGCAACTTGATACGATAAATCTTCTTTGAATTTTTACTTTATAATTATTTTAATGTTTTTAAATAAATGTACAGCACGCGTATAATATTTTCTGTATGATTATATATATATGTACGTATATTGTAACACAGTGTCCATTAGTGTGAGAAAGAGCATATCAGTGTGTCTCACTCACACCAGTGAACACTGTGTTGCACAGTGTTGGCTGTGTACGTAGCTGAAAAGCGCCCAATTATAATCTTATTCCTAAAGGGCCTTCTACAATAAGATATTAGTAATAAATCAGAAGCAAGAAATTGACCAATCATAGTCAAATTACAGAAGAACAATCGATTAGTCAATTTCTTGCTTCTGACTTCTGATTTATTACTAATATCTTATTGTAGAAGGCCCTTAACTCTCTTGCTCCGCGATAAGAGACCTCTATCAGCTGCGACTCGGTAGAATTTTTTGCGCCGTAGAATATTTCACGTCTTGAGAGACGAAGTCAGAATAAAAAAATAATTGGATGAAAAAATATGCAAATGCAGCAAAAAACAGAATTTCTGATAAAATTCTTCTTCCGATGCTGTAGTATTTGTTATACGACATATATACTTTCTCAATGTAAAATCAGACATAGAGATACGCGCGACATGTATATATCGTTGACGGTGTGACGAATTATCGATCGATAACCTAAAAATGTACGCGTGATTAATTTTATAGTCGCAATATTCACACGCTCATGCAAATTTCACACATATGATAGAATATCCTTTTGTAAATATTAAGTTAAAGGTACCGCTAATATGCTAAGAGTTAAAGACTCGTTACAATGAATGATTCGTACGAGCTCAACCTAAAGAATGTAGCCGGCTGGCTTGCGTCAGGCGCGATGATTTTCGGCGCGATTATACCGTACGTGCCGCAATATAAAGAGATCAAGAGAAAAGAAGATGCGGAAGGATTTTCTCTCTATGTCTGTCTTACTCTTTTGATCGCTAATACTCTCCGTATATTATTTTGGTTCGTATCTAAAAGGCACACCTGTCAAATGTATGTTTTGACTTAGAATTTAGAATGTATCTTCAAGGACTTAATTTTACAGGTTTGGCAAACGCTATGAGCTTCCACTTTTGTTGCAAAGTATACTTATGATTGTGACAATGTTTGTTATGATTAAGCTTTGTATCAATATACAAAACAGAACTCAGATAATCAAAGGAAAAGAGCGTGTACTTACAGGTGAGTTTAATTACAATTCTTTTAAGTAAAAAAATAAATGTAAAAGAGATTAAATATAGTTTTTTAATTTTAATTTTTCTTAGATTTTGATGCTAGATTTTTCTGGAAATGGACTGACTTCAAGTCTTATTTGAGTTTCATGGTTATATTTGCTGTCATAGGAGGTTTATTAACATATTTACTTGTGGATATACCAATATTTATTGAAATTGTTGGATTTCTAGCAGTGTTAGTAGAAGCTATGCTGGGGGTTCCACAATTTTTGCGTAATATGTCTAACAAATCAACTATAGGAATGAGGTATAACATGATTTAGATGAAACATTTAAAAACTTTAATGCTATTAATATGTTATTATAATAATGTTGATATGTAAAACATATATGCATATATTTTTATATCTCAGAAATCAAGTACTATTCTGTTTGCCTTATTTTCAGTATAGCTATGGTAGCTATGTGGACCATAGGAGATATTTTTAAGACATGCTATTTTGTGTTAAGAGATACCCCAGTGCAATTTCAAGTGTGTGGCGCTCTTCAGGTCACGATTGACATTGCTATTCTAGCACAAGTGTATCTATACAAGACTAGTAATACTATTCATACAAGAGCTCCTACAAGATCGGACTAAAAATTCAGTGAATTCTATTCTTTCTGCCTAGATGTAAAAAATATAAACATAGAAACTTTTAACTCCTTATTATTAATATGTAATATAAAATGTACAAATTATGTATTTTTGTACAGTCTGAACAAGTTGTTGAGCAACATATTTATATATTTACGGTAATTTAAGATTTTTATATAACAAGTTTAACTAAAATTGTAATTAAAATTTTTGATATCACTTTCAGCATTTAAAGATATTTAATATTAATGAAAAAAACATGAGGGATAGTATTTTCTTTTGTATAACATTTACATCTTGTATTTTTAATATCAAAGATAATATACGTTTATAACACATTAAATCTCTGTAAATACATTTTATATTATTATTTCTTTCTATTACATTTTATTAGTAAATTCATCATTCATATTTACTTGACACTGCTGTATATAAGCTTAAAAAAACTATATCACAGAGATAAAAAAAACTAATCAGATAAAAGAAAGTGGCGGGAAAATTTGCACGTGACATGGTTGCTTAGCAACCTGAGAGAGTAAACAAAAATCTGAAAAGTGACACATAGGTATGTATGGCATAATTTTATTTAAAAAAGAATCATGATAAATTTTTGACGTTTCAAAGAAGTATTATCCAAAATTTTTAAGATATAAAATTGCTTATTCTTCAATTATTTTTCGCTAGACGCAATTACTAAAAATTCAAGAATACATCGCTCGAATTTTTTATCAGAAATGACAAGATGCATAAGAAATAAGGTTAATTTAAAAAGCAGCGGTGAGTTTAGTTTTTACTTTTATTGTGTATATTACAGTTTTATTACTCAATTCTGAAAATGAAGATGTCGGCGTTTGTCTCTTATTGGCTCTCTTTGTTTTCGTATATCTGTGTATTTCGTATGTCTTTCGAGTGTGAAATGATGTGTCTTACAATAGAAGTATTAAAATTGCGCTTATCGTAGTCTACAATCAAACGGGACAGAATTATTACGAGCAATTAGCGGCGTATAATTCGATGAGTCTGCATCTGCAGCGGATTTTATCAGCCAAAAGCGTAGTTGATACAAAAAATAAAAGATACATATTAGCAAAACGAAATCATCTATGCAAAGTGCACAAACCTGAAGATAAAAGATTTTATTCACGTTTGGAAGAAACTGACGATGTCATTAACATTTTGGCTTACGATACTCATCATCATCCAATGGTATTGTATATCAGCAATATGTTTTATAATTTATAATATAAACTAACAAATCAATGCAGAATAATTTCGGATATTTTTGTTAATAGTATTAATTGTTGATATAGGTCGTATTGAGAATGAATTTAAATCCAAAGCATATTAATTGTTGCAAATTGTTAAATCATCAGAAAATGAATGTTTGTTGCAATGGAACATGTTGTGAAAAAAATGGGCAAATAGATTGTGTACAACAGTCAGTCTCAAAAAATCGAACACTGACACATTTGCCAAAGCATAATAAATTTATGTCAGAGTTTATTTGTAGAAAAGAATCAAAATCCACACAAAAGACTTATAGAATTGATCCATTAACATACTCGCAACAGAGGTAAATTTGTCTTAAAATCTTATATATTAGTTATTTATCACAAATATTTTTAAAATTATCAATAAACATTAAATTAATATATATTTTTTAATATTGTCATATGCTTGTCAAAATTGCATAATTTATTATTATATTTAATGTGAATTAGTTTTTGTTTTTTTGGTAATTATGCAATTATAGAAACTACTTTCCAATCTCAACAATTTTGACATATGATCAAAGTTATCATTTTAAGTAATTTATATTGTGAAGGTTTTAGCTGGTGGTCGTTCATTAAAAAATTAATATCGAAAAAATTTGAAAAATGTGATGTAATTATTTATCATTATTTGCTTATTTGGCAAGAAAAAAGTTATACGACGTAAAAATTAAGAAAACTGTAAACCTATGAAGAATTTTGCTTCGTGTGGAAAGTGTGTACATGGAAGCAGAGTCCCTTTATGTAGAGACTCTACTATCAGGAAACTAGACACATAGGTTTGGATTGAATCTCGCTTTGCGTGAAAAGTTGAAAACTTGTAAAAACTCTTGCTACAACAAGCGACGGCTAAAACCGAAGGTTCCACATAAGTTTATAAACTTTCCACATAAAACAAGGGGGAAATTCCACATGGATTTATAGTTTATCAAATTTTCAACTCTTATTGGTTTCTAACAATCAATTATTATTAACAATCTATGTGATTATATTTTTTATTCATAACTTCTTAATGAACTACGAGCAACGGCTAAAATCACTTCAACTACTCAGGAGAGTGTCTTGACAACATATGAAATACATACACATATGTATGTACAAGCGTTTAGTTTATATACAATGACACTTAAATACATTTATAAGATGTTTTTTGTTAATAACATTTTAATCAACAGTAACCGCCGGCTAAAATCTTCATAATATTATTCAGGGAGATTCTTGATAACATATGTCAAAATTGTCGAGATCAAGAAGTGATTTCTATAATTGCACAATTACTTGGTTTTTTTTCTTATTAAAAACATAGATATGAAAAAAACCTTTGTGCACCTTGTGCGATCACTACAGAGAGCTTGTCACAAGAAACAACTGACCGTTGTTCAGTGTCTTCCATTTCAAAAAGTGACGATTATTTCGACGACAAATCCGCCAAAAAATGCGCGTCGAAACAATTTCTACGTCAAAGAGAGAAAGAAGAAAAACAATATATCAAATTCGTCTATGACATTACTAAAGAGATAATGCAGAAAGGTCTTTATACCGATAAAGAGTTACGGGATGTGTTTAAAAAACATATCAATCAAAATAAAGGAGTATTAAATATGGTATGTGAATGATATATATATATATTGCATAATGTAAAAAACATTATCAGAATTTATATTTTGATATTTTTTATAACATAAAAATTATTGATGTTTCTCTTGCGCCAGATACACATTTTATTATAATATTTTTACATGTATATTTTGACATATATATTCACGAAAAGTTTTACATAAATAGTTTTTTATTTTATAAACTTCCGCATTTTTTTATTCAGAATAAAATGCTGTGTGAAATCTATCAGCTAAAAATTTCCTTGAACATATTAGAGGATTCAGACACGGATGAAGAATTAGAGGATCTAGTTTATGCGCAAAAGTTACTGACAGTATCTGAAATCAGACCGCCCACACCGCCAAAGGTTCTTGATGAAAATAAAGTAGTAGAGAAACTAAAATCTTATCAGAAAATGATAAATAGTGAGAGTAAACCGTCAAATTTTACTGGAAAGTCTGTAACGCTAGTCGATGCGAATCCCGATCTGCTTATTACCGAGAGAGATGTTCTGATGTCATTGGTGGAAGTAGGCATAAATCCTAAACAGGCTCAGCATATTTGTAAAACTTTACTTCACAAAAGCAGAGATACAGCTCTTATCGAAACTGTAAGATATTCCAACACATGAAAATTTCTCGAGCGCGTTGTGTCGAATATAATATTTAAATTTATTTCTTTAGGTGCAAGTAGGCGCAGAAGTTTCATACTTACTGAATAATTCAAAACTGCAAGAAATGGAAAATCTTCGTGTTACTGATGATTCACTGATAAGACAGAAAGCCGACTCTTCATCATTAAATCTTGCATCCGCGCAAGATATGACAGTGGAAACGAAAGGACAGATAGAATCTCAAAGTGTACCCAACGAATGATGAAGTGGAATCGGAAACTAAACTGTTAAATATATTGAATCATTACGTACAAAACTTGACAAATATATACAAGGTATCAGATTTTAATTAACAAAAATCCATTTGCATCGGGCTGTCTTACGCGCGTAGATCTCGGTAATTATTGTGAATATCACAAAATGATGTAGGACTTTTTGACTCATTGTCAGTTTTACTCCTACCTGCTTACGAGAGAGTGTACGGCAATTATCGGACGCCTTGTATATATATGTCAAGTTTTATGATCCAATTTTACAATGACTCAATATTTCTATTCCTGTTGTTAAAACATAGTTGCTTTAATTTTTAACATGCTCGCTTTGGCACAATCTTGGTACATGTTTATACATGCATATATTTTTAAGCACCTTAACAATAAATGTGTTAATAATGAATATTTACAATTTTTAGTTTGAAGCAATAAATATTACATACTTTTAGTTTACATAATCAAAAGAATATATTTTATTATTTTGATATTAATAATTACTTGTTAATGTAATTATTACTTGATAATATATATATAATATATATATATATATATATAAACTATTACTTGATAATATATATAATCGCTTAATATAATTATATAGTATGTATAAGAAAAATAAACAAAGTGCGTTTTGAGTATTTGTTATACAACTTTTTATTCTTATATGGTTTTGTTTTGTGACACTAAATTGTTTATAAAAGCACGACGTCTTTTGTTATTGATTTTGTATTCTTATTCACAAAATTTTCAAAGTAAGCTCCAAAAGAACAGAGATTATATACATATGTATGTGTGGGGGAGGGTTGGTGGGTTAGGCGTGCGCGCATACACACGTATATTTAATGAAAAAATAGACATTATTTGTTTACAAATAGAACGTTCTGTGTACATATCTATGTACAAATATACATTTATGTTTGTACAATAGGAAGTTTGTATGATATATAATATATGTACATATGTTTGATATGATCGTGTGTATGTGTATGTGTGTATTTGGCTGTATTATAAAACATCAGTTTGATGGTTCCAGCGGGAACATGGGGGTCCGCAGGATTTTTTTTAGGAGGAGCGGAACAATTTTTCCCAAAAATTATAAATTTTACAGAAAGGTTTCACTGTACAGAGAGTTTTCACGAATAGATGTATAATTTAATTGTTAACCAGAGATTTCAAACTTGTTTCAAGATAAAAAATACAATTTGTGAAAAAACTCGCCTCTTCAGGGGAGGCAAATGCCGGGTTCGCCCCTCCTGCGGACGCTCATGATCGGGAGATAGTGAGGATAATAGTATGCTTTCTCGGGTGTCAAATTCGGCCGAACGCTTCCCTGATGTTTTGTTTGTTTATAAACGGACAAACATCGTCAACGTTAAATATCAACTGCAAAGACGGAGCATAATTTATGCATAGATCTCCATTCATTTACTACTTGATGCCGTTTTTTTTATTAACGTAATATTATACATTTTGGATTTTGTGCTCTCACATCAATAATAAAATACTATTTACTTGTGAACACGTATATGTATATATTCATATTTCCGCACAAACATCCTGCGATCGGCTCGTAAGACCCTATATATATCTTTCGTTGAAATTTTCATAGAGCCTTAAAATTTACTTGTCAATAATAAAATAGGTTAGCAAATGTGCCGAAACAAATACGTCACCGACTCCTTTTTTCGTCGAGTAGGTTTGAAAATCGGATTGCGTTATTCTAACTTTGTTTTATATTTAATGAGTGATAGAGTGATGCGATAGCGCGCTCCCCATACACGCCTACAGAGTCCAAATCATCGCTTCTCACGCGTTTATTGGGTCACATATATTAATTAATCACTCAATAACTATTGCAAATTTCGCAAAATGGTACATGACTTTTTGGTTTAGATTAATCCAATCTACCTTTATAATTCGGCTGTGTCAAAATTTTTCAGACACCCTGTTTATAAACTCTACAAAAAACTATTATCACTAATAGTTTTCATTTTAAACACTTAATGTTTCTTTTCTTTATTCTAGACGTTTAAGTTATACAGCGATACAAATTAAGTGTATGATTTTCGCATTTTGTTTATTTATTTACATCTACTGGTTCTGCATAGGCATATAGATGCATTCTGTTTTGTATAAGTTCCATATATCTTTTATTGATATTTGAGGTACTTTAGTTATTTAAACATTGACAAGATAACTAAAGAAAAATGTATATTTGGTACTTAGTATGATAAAATCAATAAATATTCAACTACAGCAGCAGTGGCTTTCTTTTGTTTTTTCTAGATTATCAAAATACATCGCTTTTGTTTTTTTAATTGCATTGTCATGTTTAGCTGCGTTGTAAAGAACTCATACGTACTATATGTTTTTACTATAATTATAGTAAAACATATAGTAAATACATATTGTTTTTACTATAATTAAGTTATATAACTTGTAATACAACAATCTGCAAAAATAGTTTTTTAAAACTTTACAAGATATGTATATATATATGTATACATATATACACACATGCGCACATGTGCCGCATACGCACGCACGCACGCACGCACGCACGCACGCGCACACAAACACACACGAACGAACGAACAAACGCATGCACGCACGCACACACACAGATTATCTGAAAAATTTTGGCTGAGCTAAAGTGTGAAGATAAATTGGATTAACCGACAAGTCATGTAGCATTTTGCAAAATTCGCAATATTGATTGATTAATTAATACATAGGACCTAATGAGCACATGGGGAGCAATAGTCCGGACTTTGTAGATGTGTATGATTTTCAATTGTAAAGAAAAATAGTTTATTTCATGCAATCTCCAGGCGGAGCAAACAAGTAAGTGGCGTGTGACACAACTTTTTGCGATCAGCTGAATTATCACAACTGAAAATCATATACGTTTATAAAGTATCCGGACCATCGCTTCTCACGCTCTTATTGGGTCACATATTAATTAATCACTCAATACTTATTGCGAAGTTTGCAAAATAATACATGTTGTTTAGATTTTTGTTCAAAATTTTTCAGACATCCTGTATACATGCATATACATATATAATTAGAAAACTAAAAACATTAATAGTTTAAACAAATATATGCTGACTTGTGTGTTTGATATATTTAAATGTTTGAACTCAGAATGAAATTGTAAAATATTATCGTATATATAAAGATGTATGCGATATGTCAAAAGGAAATTCATATTACACATTTTTAAAGAATAAAAAATACTAATAAAATTTTGCTACAGTTTACTTAGCAACCTAGTAAGTTGCTAAGTATCAAGTTGCATTAGAAAAAATTGATATAACACATATTCCTCGTTAACTGCCATCGGATCCATTTGAAGAACAGTCTTCGAGTTCGGGTGCGTTAGGACTTCTATTCAGTATATTCATAAGTTCCGTTACGTGTTTTATTATGAAATCTGGTTTAGGACCATCTCTTAAAAGACGAAATTTATCCGCGGTTGGTATCCACACAGTTCCACAAAGACCTGCCTCAATTCCTCCTGTATTGAATAATTTTTCATATTTTGTTATAAAATCAATCATTGTTAAGAACAATCTTCCGCACAATTTATAAGTAAAATTGTTAAAATGTAAATTTTGTTACCTAGAATATCGGTCTCCAATTTGTCGCCAACCATAATGCATTTTTCTGGTCTTACATTGAGAAAGTGGCAAGCTTTTCGAAATATTTCTGCCTTCGGTTTCTCCCACGGTAGATCACCAGAGACAAGGATAACGTTAAAATACTGTTGTAAGGACAGCTTGTGTATTTTCTCCCACTGAGCATTCGACGGGCCGTTGGTGATCAACCCTAACAGATATCTTTTTCCTAATTGACGCAGCATGGAGATCGTATTTGGCGTCAGCGCCATGTAATGATATCTTAAATAGAGCCATCGTTCGTAAATCTTTTTCGCAAGATACGAATACTTGTCGCCCAACGCCTTGCTCCAGAGTATAGTACGCCAAGTGTCCAACGTGAGTGTCGCGTTATCTGGACACTTCCTGAACTGTTTCAGATATGTGGCGGTTATCTTAGTTGCAGTTTCTTCTGAGATGCCATATTCCCGTGTCAATTCTTCAGCCAACTGCAGGTAAATAATATACGCAATGAGAGTTCGCGACTTTCTTTCATTGAAAAATAAACGTTTTGTTATGAAGTGATGAGTGAAAAAATGAAAATGAAGAAAGAAATGATAAAAGTGATTTCCACACTCAATAAAAAAATGTGCACAAACACAGACGAGACAGCGTCTTGATCGTATTGCGAGACAAAACGTCTCTCGTTAAAGAAAAAGAAATTAGAAAAATATGTTAATGAAGCGCTTTGTCTAATAAACAATATACAAAGTGAAATAAAAACAAATAAGTATTGAATGTGGAGTTTTCATTGATAAAAAAAAATATCTCTGGATACACAACAAGATACAAGGAATATCAGTTAAGGATTTTTAGGGCACTTAATTCAGTATTAATGATTACCTAGAAAATGCATTGATTCAAATACTCGAGCCGATTAGTGGACACTCGAAGTGGCATCCGCGGACGTTGCTGTAATCACAACAAAATCAGTTGTGCCAACAACAACACATACTTCCAAACTTTATTAATTATGATTGAAAGATTTCTGGATAATAAACTTATTACTTATTTTCTTTAAAAAAAGCCAAACAATCTAATGTTTGCAATAATTATTCCACGAATTAAAAAAGAAATGACAATCTCTATCCAGTAATCTTCTTTTAATGTCTTCGTTAAAAATAATTTCATTAAAAACGTTGGACATAAAACGATAGCATGAATGTGATGGTGATGAAAACAAATTAAATAAACTCTTTACAAAAGTTTTGTATTTAATAGAAAAATGTTTTCTCACATTACATAATTTTCAAAACTAATTAAAAAATGCTCGCATTTAATGATCATTGTAACAATTTTTATTGTCACAATATGTAGCAAAGTAAAAATGTACAGTAGACTCCCATATCCGAATATTCTGTTATCCGAACAACGTTTCGTAGCGATGTTTATATTCAATATACATATATACATATATATACTTTCGTGTGTTCTACCAATTGGATCGTAATCACAATCATTTAATCTGAAGCCGACAGAGTACGCACAATGGCAAGCAAACGAAAACGTGTAGTTTTAACGATTGAAGCTAAGTCATAGATGCAAGATCGTGCAGGACGGCATCGAGAGTATCGAAGCAGGGTATCTCGACCTCTACCTCCTCGAAGCTCTCATACGCATACAAGCGAGAACAGCACACGGACGCTGTTTTCGCTTGTATGTGTACGAGAGCATCAAGGAGGTAGGAGTATTGATACTACGTTTTGATACTCTTGATGCTGTCCTGCACACGATCTTGCATCTATGAGCCAAGTACAAAATAATTCAAGATCTCGAAAATAATGAAAGTGCAACAAAATTGGGAAGAATACATGGTGTCGGGAAATCTACAATTACAGATATTAAAAAAACAAAAACATTATATTGAAAATTATATGCAGCATGTAGATTCCTCGGATGCTAGTAGGAAAAGCTTGACGAAAATCCTAAAAATAAAAGTGTAGACGACGCTTCCAATAGTGTCGTCAACATAAAGACAAAGACATACCAATATCTGGACCCATGGTACGCGAGAAAGCTTTAGAAGCGGAAGAAGTCTACGCATTAGCAAATGATATGGAATCCTTAAATATTGCACCACATTGTAAATTTTGATGTAACCTATCATTTTTTGTTGATTTCTGTTTGAATAAATGAAGTTTAACGCAAAAGAAAATGATTGTTCTATTATCAGAAAAATCCAATATCTCCGACCACTTTTGTCTCCCTATTAGTTCGGATACGAGAGTCTCCACTGTACTTATTTACATTTAATAAACACAGTGTATTTATAAAATGTATTTACAAAGCTTTATTTTAAAAACATTTAATATTCATCTTTATGATTTACATAGTATTTCCGCAAGTAACACTTTTTAGCTTTTTGCCTGCCAGAAAGCTATTTCCAGAAGTGATGCTGTCTAAATTTACACTGGAGCACGCGCGCATACAAGCATTTCAAATATCAAACGTAGAGAACACGTAATGATCAATTCAATTCGCAAAATACTACAGCTAAAAGCTAGTTTGCTAGAGCTAAAAACTATCATTTTACAAAAAAGTGATTTAATTAAAATCACTGATCTCAAGTATAATTAATTTTTTCTATACAAATTTCTATAAGAAATTTTACATAATTTATTTCTTTTACATTGTTCGCGCGCGTAATAAGAAAAGTTGAGGAAAAGATACGCAGTAATACTCCCGAATGTTCAATTTTAATCTCCAAAAAGACTCTTTCCAAGTTCCATCATACGATGATTCCGACAAACAGTTAACGCGCCGCATTTTTTCAGCACCGTTGCAACACTGTCGTCGGCTTTCACCAAGTGGCACAGCAAATCTTCAAAGGCAGACTTGACGTTTGGTTCCAGACCGCCGATCTTTACTCGCTTCAGCGTCTCAATAATCTCCTCTGCCCAGCCGGATTCTATTGTAAATTGCGACAGCCAAGGTATCACTTGCAGTATACCGGTCATTGTCTGCATACCCAAAAACCAGAGTTCCATTAACTCCATCCAGTGTTCTTTATAAGACATGGAAACTACAAGCTCGGTCGGATCGTTACTCTCGTCGATAATGTACGCGTCCCACAAAAATCTTATAGTAGCCTGAATGTAACAACATATTGAGAAATCGTTCTTTTTTATGCGTTTCGCTTGCTGCTTCATCAGTAGTAATCCCAGGACCGCTAAATGACCGTGCAAAACCAGATTCTCCGGAATCTGCTTCAGTTCCGGTAAGTTGTTATAAATGAACTTGAGCAGTGAGACAAACGTTGGCGATTCTTCTACTAGCTTCGCCTCTAACACGGTGATGTTCATGAAAACGTTACAGATGGATACCATAGCAGTTCTGGAATCTTTCATCTCTTCCAGAAGACGCGTATCTAGTTCTTCCGTGTGATTGCCGTCTTGCAGGACTTTCAGTCGTTCCGATCTCGGTACCGGTGGTCTCTTGTAGTGCACGATGGTCCAATGGTAAGACAGACATTCAAATAAGACTTCGTCCTGTTTATGTTGAAGTAAGATTTTTCTACCAGCTTCTTCCACAGCCAAATAACACAAAGCGGGCAACAGTAACCTCAGTATATCGACTTCACTTAACGGATCGTGAACAACTGGGTCTCCGGATGACGTCCCTTCATCTCCTTTAGCTTTAAACTTAGCTTTTTCAGCCAACTTCCTGTTTCGATGGGCATAAAACGTATCGTTAGCCACTGTCAGCACATACGGCAAAACGGTATAAACTTGAGCTTGCATAGTGTTCGTTTCTTGAGCCAGCCAGACACACAGCACTCTTACAACGGCGCATATAAAGATTTTTTCTTCTCTATTCGTTAACGCTTTCATTTTCGACACAGAACTCAACAAACCGATAACAGCCGCGAAGGCGCCTTTCAAAGCCGTATAGAGAGACTGCTTTTCCTTTTGTTCCAAGTCAAGTTGATCTGTAATGATATAACCAATTGAAACCTCAAGAATGATAAAACAAGCCGTGACTAAGTCGGCGTTTACAAGCACAGTCTTGAGCTGCTTGTCCTCCAACTGCATTCTCACTTCAATTGACGCTAACTGAATGAGCAACAGGAAGAATATCTTTGGTGATTCCTTATCAGACATGGCCCATTCTGCTCCCAGCAAATCCATCATTACAGACACGAGTTTCAAGGCTGGATCACGCTGCTTCTTGCTTATTTTTGATTTCAGAATATCATTCAAACCTTTATGAATACTCAGTGGCCAAGATTCTTCCTTTGCGTTCACGGCAATTACTTCTTTCCTGCAAGAGTGCAAAAGAGCTTGTAAAATAGCACAGAGCTCGAATTTTCTTTCTGTGTGATCCGTTTCAAAATCCAAGGCTATCTTATTAATTATTGCATGAAAAGGAGCAGTGTCTGTTGGATCCCAAGCTTCTGGTCCGAATCTACTAACCAATGTGACCAGGATGTTCAGAGCTTCATCTGTTTGAAAGCTCTTCTCTGCGTATATGTCACACATTTTTGGAATCGCTTTTTGTTCGAGCAATGCTTTCTGTCCAGGAGAATGCTGCGCGATACATTGCAAACAAGTATACGCCTCACTAACAATAATCAGCATGTCGTCTGGTGCATCTTCATCAGCCTGTGACACTATTTCCAGAAGAGCTGGAATGTGACCTATCATATCTGAATGACAGGCAAGCTCGGGTTCTTTGCAGAATGCGGAGAGGATGGATAACGCCACTGATTTATATACTTGTGGAGGACAATCTACAGGCACACTTTTTGTAGATAGCAACTTCCTGAGAAATTTAGCTCCTATTGCTTCAAAAAGCATGGTCTTTCCAGCTGGAGTACAGTCTTTGCTATCCACAAGTTTGGTAACCATAAACAATGCAGCAAATTTTTCTGAGTCTGTATCTACTGCTTTTAATATGGCCACACATTTTGCAATATCCTCTGGTACACTCATGATGCTCAATTATTCCAGTGAAACAGAAATGAGAAAAGAATGAAAAGACAAGCTATCTCTTTTGAAACTATACACTGACAATGTAATCTCTTAGTGTTTTATATTAGTATTCTAATTTAACGTGTCATTAATATATAAACGTTATCAAATTGTATGCTTTAACGGGTGTCACCAGCTATGCCACTGCTTACCATTAGCATAGTTGGCAGTCAACTGACAAGCCTCCCAGAGAACAGTTCTCTCGCTGTCTAGCCTTGCTCTTTGATACACTCCCAAATGGTCAAAAATAACCAGCGAATGTGTGTACATACGACGCGACTACAAGCTGTGGAACATGAGTAATTCGCTCCGTTGTTAAGTTTAGTAAACTCTTGCAAGCGTCGTATCGGGAATTCCGACTTCTTAATGATTCAAGGGCTCCAAAAATTCGCCCATGTACCAGTCTGCATTGGAAATTCTGTTCTGAAAGGACTAACCTATCTTACATCTTTGTCAATAAAGGCATATTTACAATATTTTGTCTTTGTCTATACTCTTTGTGTGTTAATAATATAACATATATGTGTACATATATTATATACATATATATATATATATATATCGGGCACTTATAATATATACTTATCTAATATGGTTTAAGGCAAATGTTAGATATTTAAATGAAGAATACTTTCTTGTAATTTTAAGCATCGCATTTCGTTTCCTGTTTCTTTCAAGGTGTAACTCGGTGCAATTAACTCTCATGTTAGGTTTGCACCGTAAAAAACCGTAAACTACGTAATAACCTGCACTTTTCGCACTTGTGTGGTAATTAGCGAATTGTTCTACATTTGGAAGAGAAATGCAAAAAAGCTCAATCAAAACAAAAACTTCTTAAGAAATAATTTTCAAGAGTAACATGATGAAACTTCCACGAAAATCCAGACAGGATGCAAGATGCGGTGCCAAAAATAACTACGGCGTCGTAGAGAAAACGCACTATATCGGGAAGTCGGCTCGTATTACATGAGAGAAGGAGGATTGGAGGAACGACACTGGACGACACACAACAGCTAATTTTATTCTTGCAATGCGAGATACGAGATGAACGTCGCGAAGAGAAAAAGAAAGAGAGAGAGAGAGAGAGAGAGAGAGAAATATACAGACAGAGAAAAAAGAAACAGTGCTTGCTATCATGAAAAGTGATGCGCGCGTATTATATTCGTGTGATATCTCGCAATAATTCTTTAAAAAAAACCAAGAGTGCAAACACAGGTCAAATCAGAAGATGGAAAAGATCAAACTCCATGAGTTAAAAGTGTAATTCTCGTACCTTGCGGCAGGTTTGACCGTCTGCCTTTCTTGTCTCCACGAGAGTATTGTCAAGATCGAAGAAGACAGCGCTCAAAGATTTACCGGACTGTACAAATTGTGGATTATGCTGTTTACAAAACACAGTTTCCATCGCCGTTTCTTGCAACAATCGTGCTAATTCAGCATACTCAATCGGAGACTCGATAATTGTCTCTGATTCATCTACACATATGTATTTATATATACACACATACATACAGAGACCTCTTTGGTACATATATACACATGTGTGTGTGTGCGCGTGTGCGTGTGTGTATTAGAGCAAGCACACAGCAACTGATGAAACACAAAAGTCGAACGGTATCGAATCGAGCCGAAATCTGGCGAAGTGTGTTTGCCGCATAGATCCATACCTAGGAATATATAGGGCTTTTCAGCAACAAAACATAGTTATATCCTTAAACCATGTATACTTATAGACACGGCTTCAGATAACTGCCTTGAAGCAAAGATAATGGCTGTGTTCCAAATTTACTGCCAGTGCAGGTATGTTATGAAAGCAAGCTACCAACATCGTTCCAATTTTGCTAAGCATGCTATTAGCACAAATCCAGCAATTTGGTTGTCAGATGTCGCGATTTTGTCGCCAACCGCCACATCAAATCCATATCCATCTGTGTCCTCAGTAGGATATGGTTTTGGTGACCATGTTGCGTTTTTTGTGTCTGTGTGTTAACAGCTTTGGCAGCACACAAAGCATGTTTCCGTATTGTAGCGTTTCTGCTCACAGTTTCTGTTGCCAGGTCTGCGCAGTCAGAAATTGTTTGCTGGGAATATAGGTTGGTTAGTTTTGGTGCGCTTGTGGCTCTTGAACCGAGAAAAACGGTTAGTTCATACGCCAGTCTATGTCTGAATGTAGATATAAAGAATGTTAGCAAAAACATATGCTAAAAAACATATGCTATGCTAAAAGTGTCCAAAAATATTCACAATAGAATTACGCACATCCAGCCAACACGGCTGATGCAACGCTCATGGGGAATATAGGTTTCAAATTGGAACAATGACTACGTTTACACGTACACACGGCGTCAAAAATTCGCGGAGTAGGCGCGGGGATCGGAGGGCAAGCGGGGGGGTT